ACTTGTATTAACTTGCTGCTTTTGACACCTGCCTTTTCCCACTATTCTATTTTAGCACTGGGACTCATTTGCCAACTATAGAAAGACTTAGGGTGAAACATTATATGCCGATAACTTACTCAAGGTCAGTAGGAGCAAATTTTTTTTTCTCAAAATTTGTTGAACTTATATTACAGGTAAAATTAATGATGAATTAAGTGGAAGTGGAAAAAAAAGAGCCAGGTAAAATTTGTAATGCTGTGTATCCTATATTTGCTTTCATGCACTTTTCACACAACCAACAGTTGTGATCACAGGAAACACTGTTAGCACTGTAGTCCCAAAGCAGGAATGCAAACACCCGGCAAGCTCTTCCAAGAATCCCCCAGTTGAGGACTTTTCTGGAATGTCCTAACAAGCCTTCCCTGCCGTGTTTACAGTTTCATACCAATGGCAACCCTGCAATCTGTCTTGCCAGCATGTCATTATCTGAACTTCTCAAGAGGAAACACAGGGGAGCAGTTGGATGAGATTTCTCCTCTATAAACAGGTTCAGGCTATTTCAAAGCTGACCATGTGACTCTATGCAGAGCAAGTAACAGATAAAATCAGGCCACTGCTACTGCTGTAATTGGGTTTTGTGTACATTGTTACCTATCACTTTAAATTAGGAAGATGTTTGTTGAACTAAATAATTTACTTAGTTTGGGGGATGACAGAAGAAGCAGCTACACTGTGAAAAGTGCAACATTTGCAGTAGGAAGAAAAAAGTGCTTTGACAGAGTGGAAAAAGTCTGAAACAAGACTGAAATTGAGTCTTTTTATGGACTGTTAAAGTTTTTCAGACCCAACTAAACACAACATTCTGATGAAATTCATTGAATTCTTAAAGAAAAATAAGATCTCAGACCTTTCCAACTTCAGATCGCTCTTATATAACCCAGGAATGTTGGCACCGGACCATCTCACTAAATCAAGCAAAGGAGCAAAGGTTCAGAAAAAAAACCCATTCATTTCAATCCCACAGGCATCCAGCAAAGTCTTACAGTGCTTCTAAAGTTTATGTAAACAAGTATTTTCTAAATCATGGCAACAAAGAATGTATTTATGTTGAAAACAAATTTCAAAGATGGAATTATCTGAAAGTCACAGAAGCTTCGTTAAGAACAATAAGTCAGCTTTTGACTCATTGGATCTGGTTGAATGAACATGTTCACTATTCAGACCTTTCCAACTCATTTTGATCCAAGTAAAGAAAATGGTACATTGCCTCTACATGTTCAAGTACTCCATACATTCAAGCATTATGCGTCATTTGCCTTCACATGCATATTTAAACTTGAGTATGATGCAACCTATACAACTATAACAGCCTCAAAACTATATGAGGTAGCTATACATCTGTTTTTCTCCTTTTGAGAGAAAGACAGGTGTGGCTCACTGTCACACCTTATGCTCCAAAGAAACACAAAGTTATGTGTTACGAGTTAAAATATCCCAGACTCTCTGATCGACAAAAAAAAAAGTGAAGTATATATTCAATAAAAAACTTCAGAAGTGTTGAAGGTTTCTCCCCTGAATGAATGTCCTTAGTTTAAAGGTTGGGATTTTCCAAAAATAAGTATTCTTCTCAAAATAGAGATTAAAGATCATAAGTTTGTTTGACTCATAAATTCATTCAGTGTCTCAAACTTGTGGCATTTCCTGCTTTGCAGCTTCACACCAACAGTGCTGTGGGACCCTCACAGACTACTTCCTGTCCTCAACAATACTATTGACAAAGAGTGAAAGCACCTTTGCCAATAAGTCCTGTACTATATTTCAATACTTGAGACCATACCAGCCTCTGCCTCTATTCAGGGAACTGTCTTTGAAAAAAATGTGGAGGGAGTTGAGACAAAATGACTAAAAGACTTCTGAAACATGGGAAATATATAAAAATTCCCTTCTCACCCACCACGGGTGGTTCTTATCCTCTGAGCTCGGGTCCTCTACCAGAGGCCTGGGAGCTTGAGGGTTCTGCGCAGTATCTTGGCTGTGCCAAGGACTGCACATTTCTGGACTGAAATGTATTTTGTATTGAAATGTATTTTATATATATATATATATATATATATATATATATATATATATATATATATATATATATAATATATTTTTTTTTTTTTTTTTTTTTTTTTTTTTTTAGGAGTATCCGGTTTTGTGGCCAGCACCATAGTAACAGGATGTATGTTTAAGGAACATGACCCTGTGACTTCACACCGACTGACAAAGGAACAAAACACTGTAGATATCTGTCTTACTGTTATTCTTAGGGGTTTCACAGCTTCTCGCTTGCTGTCCAAACATAAAAACTCTGAGAAACGTGGGCACATACTTTTAAAACAATTTACATTTTGTCACCACTGATGAATCGGTCAGATAAAATGTAGGTCAGGTCAAGAGGAGGAGCTCTCCAACTGTTAAAATAATGAGACGATACATTAGTGAGAGAAAATGACTCCCAGCTCAGTTAGCCTGCATTCCTCATTAGACATCATGAATGAATGCAATGGAAATATTTTGACTGGAGAGTGGAGATTATGCAACAAAGGTGATGAACCACAATTTAGACTACAATGCAGTATTATTCAGCACATATCATTTGTATAAGATCCAGATAAAGGATATAGTTTTATGCCATAAGAAAAATAAGGGAAGTACAAATACTTCTCCTTTTGAGAGACATAAATGTAATTTTTATTATGAGGCTACAATTAATATCAACAAATTGTTATGAGCCATTAACCCTCCCATAAATCGTCATCATTATCACTGGCTATTAACCAAGCCCATTCTTTCACAGTAAAACATTGCTGTAGTCAGTTGCTCACATACTGATGTTTTCTCCAATTCATTGTAAGCGATAAAAGCTTTTACCAAGATCCAAGTCTCAGACCAGAAGTTCAAGTCTACTGGAGTAGGAGGAGTCTTACTTGAGTCAACATCTCAAACTTTGTTAACCAGTTCATTAGTTTAACATTAATAAAATTTGTGTTTTAGTTATCACTCCCTCTGAGGTCAACAGTTCATTGCAGTGCCCAGGAGAGATTACGACAAGGTGTTCAATCAAAACACAAAAAGAGGAACAGGGGATGACTGCAAAGATCTGAGTTCACTTCTGGGTGAATGTGGGTCTAGTGTAGAAATGCATCAATTTCTACACTAGCGCTATCTTCACAAGTGCTATCTCAAGTTAGCTCATTCGCAACATACAAGGACCCTTATTGGTCAAACAACAATGTGCTGAAATGAACAAAACTGAGACAGAAAACAAAGATAACTGAGGTATGACAACAACTAAGTTCATTCAAAAATAAATCCCTTAAGCTTCTTCACTTCAGTCATTTCTGGGGGGGTTTTATATGCAGGATTGCTCCCTTTGTTCTGAAAAAATCTGGGTAATTCCCACTTCACTTCACTATCAACACAAACATTGTTTGTCAGAGGAAATACTTCCTCTTACAATACAGCAATGCTTGCTTCACAGTGTTGAAACAGTGAAATCCAGGAGATGGTGCTTTGTTGTATTTGTCAGATGGGAGCCACCTTGCGGTGTGAAACTATTTGGTCTTTTTTGCTTAAGTAAAGAAAGCAGCTTTTGTGTTTTATTAGTTTGCATAATAAGCATGTGTTTACGACTTAAATTAAATTGATTACAGTATTTGATTTGCGTGAATGGATAGACGACCTGAAGACTGAAAAAGTGCTTTATCACATGAATCAATCTGAAGTTACTTTGCATAAAATTTATGTTATGAAAAGCTAATTTTCTGCCCTCTTTGTTTTTGTGTGATGCTGGCTTTCCCACGAAAGCCATAGTTTCAGAAGATGCTGCATGAGCAATTTGATATGAATGTGCTGACAAACAAACAAATCTGCACATGTGTAAAGGCGCAGCACCAAGCACATTAATCATCCTCTGTTTTGAGCCTGAAGGTACTGGGAGCCATGGAAACCAAATACCAAGAGGAGAAAAATCTTGGTGCTTCTTGTCCAAGTTTCATCCCACTGGCGGTCGTACTAAACCTCACGAATCGCATGACAATAACAACATTCCTCATCTATGTGATATAGTCCAGCAGGAATTCCTGTTAAACAGAGGATTTTCTCAGGGCAAATACTTCACTGGATTAAAAACATCTGGTGTACCGTGCAAATCTGAAACAGAAATAATGTTAAAAACCTTGGAAGTTTTTATTGTTTTCCTTACCACATCGATGCATGTGGTAAGTGTTGGTCTGCGTTTAGTAGTTTGTGCAGAACTACCTGATAGTGTTGAGAGTAGAGATTGTGTTGTCAGGATGTCGACAGACTGAAAGAACTTGCAGCATTTAGGGATCTTTTAGGTAACAAAAGCAAACAGAAAACAAAGATAAAAGTTTTTATAAAATTCTAACTGCGGTAGTTGCACTCGCGGTTCAAAGTCCATTGCCAGTACGTCTGTGTGAGTTTTGACCCTCATTGCATTGATACTACAGAGAAACCCTGGAAGCACTTGTCAATATGTGCTGGGTTGAAGCCTGGGTCAGAGAGAACCAACAAAGTGTCTATATCTTTCAAACATTGCTGAAATAACTTTGCCATACTGGATTGGACATTGCAAGAAAATATGTATTTTCTCAATCAAAGCAACAATCATCAGATTTGATGAAACCAAACTTTAATATTTTACTCTTGCAAAATGCTGTGTGTAAATAAAAACTAAAACTGCATCATCTTGAACACACCATTCCTCGATGGCAATATTATACCATGAGAATTATTTTTCTTCAGAAGGGATGGGGAAAGCTGGCCATGTTTGGATGGGAACATAGATGGTGCAACATGCAGGCCAAGCCCAGAGGTTGGCCTGTATGTCAATCTCTAGGAGTGACATGCAATTCTAGATATTGTATGTCTGGGTTATAAAAAACTTTCAGCAGCACAAGAAACTTAAACATATTGCCTGAGACACAGTGTTTTAGATCAAAGCACTTTAATGTGTTTAAGTGGCAGAGTCAAAATCCAAAAATAAATCAAACTGGGTCTCTAGAAAACTTTGAAAGCTTATTTTCAAAGGTCTTCTCCATCCAATTGGAGTGTCTGATCTGAGACACTTTGCAAATATCTTACTTCCACTTCACGATTCTGCAATACTAAGTCACACCAGATTCTTTTAAATGCATTCAGGTTTCTGGTAAGATGACAAAAATTTGCTAAGGTTCAAAGTTTTTTCAAAGGTCATATAATCAGGGATCATTGGGACAAGTATAGAAAACACACAGAGAAAAGTGGGAGGGGCAAAAATTATTAAACAATTTAAAATTAAACTGCCAATTCTAACATTTATTTCCATATTAAAGTGGGAGAGAGACTGTAACTTTTGAGTGACTATGCTGTCTGAATTCAATCATCCGGGGGTCAATTTATCATTCCTGTTTTTAAAACTCAGAGTGCATAATTGTGTTTCACTTGTAGCATCCCTGAGAGTCTGGAAGCGGTCTAGAGATGTTGTGGAAGGCCCACTGCAACAGGCCGTCAATTGAGTTCTGCTGCCATAGAAAGAGCGGAAGAAAAAGAAAGATGAGATTTTACGAGCACATATCCAGTTGACATTTCCAAATGATGTATTCTTCAAGATTAACTGAACTGAATGGCAAATGGAGCCAGTTAATACCCGAGTCCAACATTCATCCTTAATCAATACATTTGTTATGTAAATAATAAATTATTACTAAAGCTAAAGTCAAATCACAGTATTCTTAAAGTACAGCAGAAATAAAGCATCATTTGGTATGTACCACGCTTACATCTCCCAAGATGGAGTCCAGTTCATCCTTATTGACGACTGGTTCAGAGAAGGAAGTGCTCTGATCTTGACTGAATGAGTTCTGGACTGAAGGTGCAAGCTAAACAAACCAGAAAGAGTACAACGATTACAGTGCAGCATGTGTAGGCTTTTCTTCTCTTTTGTTTCTGTTGTAAAGGTCTGTAGACACACCTGCATGCCTCTGGGCTCAGTTTCTTTCTCTGCAGAGTTGCCCCATGGTCTAGAACAGGACAAGCAGACAGATCTTCCCCTTTGAAGAGCACACACACATTGCAGTGACTCAGACTGAAGTGTATCAGGTTTCCTTCGATCAATGTGTAATTTGAGCATTGCAGACAGGGAGCTTCAAACTGTTCTGAATCATCAAGCTAAACACAGTTCCAAAATTATGACACATTTTGTACATCAAGGTCTATGGTTCATATGATTTGATTGATGTTAACTTTAAAATTAAGGCCAATATCAAAAAGGTAGTGCAACAAACGTATAGGACATCCATCTTTCATTTATAATTAACATCATTTTCTGAAAGTACTGACCCTGAGTTACTGCTGAAAAACGCCATTTGTAATCCATTAGCCAGCACTTGGGAATTGACTCTACAAACACACTCTTAATGCAATACTGGTATGGCTGATCAATACTAGCCTGAAAGAGAGGGAGCTCCAAGAAATTTGCTCTGCACAGTATCGATCAATGGTTCAGTAAAATTAGGGACACAATCCCATTATGGGGCACGAATCACCAAATAAGGGATCTGAATGTGGAACCAGGAATCAAAAGAACATTTAGATATTATTGCTATTAGTGTATTTTGGCTTTAGTTATGCTATGCAGCACTCTATGGTAATATCTCATACTGAAAATATAAATTAATCCAAACATTCATTTGGAGACATTTAAACAGAAGGGACTCGTGTTATTACATTGTTTTAAATAAAATCTTGGGTGCCACACTGACTGGCCCCTGCAATCGTTTCTAAAAGAAGCATTTCTGAAACATATTTACTTTCAGTACACAAACATGACTGCAGACCTTCAATTAATTTTCTAAGATGTCCTGTTTTCCTTTACAATTCAATAACATATGATACAGACCGATGTTTTTGTTGTTCCATATTTAAAGCAAAGATTTAAATTAATGGTAACTTAAATGGTAACTTAATGGTATTAAAGCAAAGCTTTGCAACAACTTTGCTTTAAGTTGTTGCAAAACTTAAAGCAAAGTAAGAAGAATTTCAAGGCTCTGTACATCCTAATAACTTTTGTAATTTTAAATCCGACATATTTCTCATGTCACTGATAAAAAAAAAAATGGTTGTCTTACTTGGAAAAGTGGCAATGTGCATGAAAATGCTTTAAACACTGAAGGCAGTGAGTCAGATCTCCTCCAAGGTGACAGACGCCGCACACCTCCCTCAGGGACACCATCTCTCCACCTGAGCACTGGACACACAGTTCACTTTTATAACAAGCAAGAAGCAGCAGAAAAGCTAAAGTAAAACTCCTCACCTGGTGTTTGCCATTCGATGCTTTGATAGAGGCCGTGACACTCGTGAGGGAGGATGATAAAGTGGGGTAGAAAGAGTTGTCTAAGATGGAGTTGGTGGTGTTTATGCTGGTTTGCTGAGGCTGAGTGGGGAGAACCTGAATTGAAGAACAGAGCATTGCCTTTAAGTAAAGCACTAAATTAAAGTGAATACTTACAGACTGACAGAATCGTGATTTTGGAATATGATAAATATAATCATCGTCAACGATGAAAAATAATCCCTTATTCATATAAAGTCTACTATATTCTTTTCAGACAGTGTTAAATGTTATATTACAACGAAAGGCTTTATATACACACCTGGACAAGCTGGAGAGCATTTTCTTGTTTCACTCTAAGCCCATAGCACCACTCACACTGCCAAGAGCCACTGTTAATTACAAAACGCATTTTACTTTTGAAATACTTTAGTCAAATGCCTATTATCTAAAAGCTTCTCTACATTTATCTCTGTAACTATTTACCTGGGTATGGAAGTGAGTGGAGGGTTGAGGCAGGTCAGATGAAAGGCTCGAGGACAACCGTCACAGCAAATCAACTCCCCTCCATCCTTACACAGCGCGCACTCATCATCATTAGAGTGTATCTGTGCACACCCACAAACACACACAGCTGAGATCAGATGAGAAATAACACGGCACCGTTCATTTAAGCACCACTGACAACATTGATGCCTCACTGTTATTGTGTTTGCCTCCCCCTGGTGGGTAAACCTGGCACTCGCAGACTTTTCGTGGGACTTCTCTGCTAAACTGTACGAGTGAAAACCTTCAGCACCTTTGATGCACTTTCGGATGGAGCCTGTTTCAAGACAGCACTGTTTGCCTCAAATATCTTCTCATGTAGACAGAACAAAAACAGAACATCTTGCTACCAATTTCTCACAGAAAAAAACCCAAACATGTTACCACATGGTAATGTATCCCAAAGCTATTAAGCAGTTTAATCAAAGTTCAAAAAGTTTAAAAAGTTTCAATGTTTTACCATCCAGTGCAGTACACTCCTGTTTGATTTGTATGTTTTCTTTTTTATCCTGGCAGAATTGAAGATCCGAAGAGGAGGAAGATGAAGAAGAGGAAAGAGCTGTGCCTCTTTGACTGGAGGAAGATACCATCTGCAGACCTGTAGCAGAATTCTGATATATTTCTGACATCAAATAAATGCGACACAAGTTCATTTAAATCAAGAATATATTGTATTACTGTTTCCAGAAGGTAGTTGCAGTGCTCGCGCTTCGCTCTTCACTCTGTACAACTTGACTTTACTCACTGGTACAAGATTAGAAAATCTAAGTTACGGTAAGCTAAATTTGACAAGAAACTTACTGGAAAAATGCTGTTGGATTGAAAACTGATTGGAAGAAAGTAAGATGACCTGTTCCATCGCTTGTCTTAGCATGATACTCTGAATGCTGAACATTTGTTCCCTTGTCCTCATGGCTCCTCTTCTTGCTGTGAGAAACTTTTACTCCTCCATAAGATCTGTTTTCAGCTTTGGAACGTGGAGCATTTGGTCCTAAACAGACAGAATCAGCAGAATGACCGAAACGGTCAAAGTCAAATGAGGTCAAGGCAAGACTTTTATAAGAAGGAAATGTTTTCAAGAAAATTGGACTTCACAGACTATTATTCAGGTTAGCGAGAAGCGCCTTTAGCTTGGGGTAGCTGTCCATGTTGTAGTCCTTGGACAGGTTGCTCCAGAAAGCCTGGAGAGTTGACCTGCTCTGCTCCAACAGCCACGAAAGAAGGGAGTACATGGCTTTGTGAATCCCCTCGCTCCCTTCCTTCTTAAGAGTATCCTGGAGAAAACAAAATGCTCTAATTTGTGTGTTTCAAAACACTGCATGTCAGATGTACAGATTCATGTGACGGATAGAGCTGTCCCGCGAAAATCTAAATCAAACAACTGAATGCAGTTATCCACAAACATAGATATGTTTTTAAAGAATTTCACCTCTAAATAAAAGTTTGGACATATATTCCTGTTGCTTACCTGCAACTGTTGTTCTGTGATTATGTTTTTGTCTGCCAAGCCATACACAATAGGAAAAGGGTCATCCACCGCCATCGCTATGTCAGTACGCAGCTCGCGCAGCAGAGAGCGAAGGTTGGCGTCTCTGAACACCTCCACTCTGGACATGATCTGCTTCAAGTGAAAACGAGAACTTCAATGAGGAGCCGACCAGGCCTGAGATTGTACATTCACCCTTCTGGAGGAGGTGTGTCCTACTCAAGTAATGAAATTTTGACAGGTGCGCCATTCAAGAACACCAGGAAATATTATGTATTGTAGACAGTTTTCCATTTTCCTGTAAAAGTATGTTTAATTTCTGTATTTGATACACATTTATTTTTCACAGTTGAAATAAAATTGACATCCTTATGAGACCACAGACCTGATGTACCAGAAGACCATTCCACAACGCTCTGAGGTGTTTTATTTGTCCAACAACGACACCAACCGCCTTCATCCAGGGGAATACCTGCCCTCTGACACCAGGAGAACACAGTGAGGCAACACACTGTTTTGCAATTCTCCTAAAAGGTTCTTTCCATCTCAACTTCCCCTCAACTATCAGGTTTGCAGACTCTGAGTCACCACAGAGAGCTCAGCATTAGTGTCATAATTATCACTTTCCAGTGAACTGGAAACATCAAATCAAAACTGTAAACAATAAGCTGATGGATTACATGACCGGTTGGCTGCTATGCTCATGGTCCAGCTGTTGCTCATCATTTAGGAGCTGGAGAGTACTTTCATTTTTCTCAAACAAGACAAAAAATGACTGTTGTAGGAACACTAAGTTCAGCAGGTGGTTGAGTAAAGGCTAATCTTTGTCTATCACAGTAATTTGTTTATTTAATATAACTTTCTAGTGTTCACCTTGGTGATATTTTAAAAGGGATTGAATATGTTTCCTTTATGGTCTGAGATAAGTTCTTTTGAATCATCTCCAACCAAAAGTAAAAGTGAAGCTGCCTGTGTGTATTTTTTATGTTTTTGAAGTGGAACAAAAATATTTAAAAATTTCTTATATGAATTCCTATGTGTCACAAAGTACCTACCGGTACCACTTTTCAGCAAAACTGCAATTGCAAAAGTTGGACATTCTCTGATTGTGTTGGCTACAATATTTTTGTATTCAACAGAGAGAAAAGCTAGAAAATATTTTTATTACAACGAATTGACCAGAATTTGGTTGAAATTAGATTAATTCAATTCAATTTAACTGCATTTGACTAATTCAAATTGCAGTTTACTGGAAGGAATATGAATTGAGTTGAATTAGTATAACTATAATGAACTGTGTCAAAATGTATTGTTCAAGATTTAAACTGAATAAAACGAAATGCAAGAATTTGTACCAAAATTAGCTGAGCTGAGCTGCACTGAAAAAAATAAACCAAACTAAATTGAATTTCAATGGAATGCATGAAACTGACATGAATCCAGTTGGATTTAATAGCTGTTCTTTGTTGAACTGAACTTTCCAGAAAACAAGACTATTAGATTAATTGGCTATTTTTAATTTCCTTTAGCTGAGTGTGTGGGGTTGCATAGTTTTTTTTTTTTTTGTTCTGGATGACTGTATGATGGATTGGTTTGTTCAGAGGTACCTCTTATCTAATGACCTCTTGACATTACCTGGGTTTCTGCAAGGATAAGCAGGCATAGACTATGGATGCACTGAACTGAACTGATATATATACAAGTTGAACTAAACTGAACTGAGTTTAACAAAAGAGGATTTATTAAGATTCCAATGAACTAAGGTGAACAGAACTGAATTGCATTGAATTGAGTGTATTAAAAGTATTTTGAAATGATTTCAATTAAACTTGAAAGTAACTGAATTGTAAACTAAAAGAGTACCAGTAATGAAAAGTACATTAAAGTATAATCTCTCACCAAAGCACGTAATTTTAGAATTGTTTTTTTTCTTTCAATAATACAAGCTCTTGCCTTCCAGTAGAAGGATCAGAAACTCAAAAACTAAATAGAGCAGTTTTAAATACTTTTTTTAACCGTCACCGTCAAAATGTCGGTTTTAGTTCATTTCTTTATATAGTCCTTGACAAATTTCTCCTAGGGGACATTAAAGTACATTCTATTCTATTCCATTTAACAAAATATGTCCCAAAAATATAAATAATAAAAAGAAAATACACCATTTTGCTACCAGGTGAATGTAGATGGTTAGGAGAGTGAAGCCCTTTAATCTGTAATTTATTAATCATTAAACATTATTACATTATTCATACTGGTGAACAAGGACCACTTCTACAGAGGGACGTTCACAACATACATATTACATTATTATATACAATGCAGTGCATTACAGTGGATTGTTATATGTGTATTACCAGGATGGGGGGACAGAGAAGCTGAGGGAGGAAAAGAGGAACAGTGGAGGGTACTTTGGAGGGACAGGGGGTTGTAACAGTAAGCTGTCTGTTTTATTAGCTCTTTTTTATTTTTTCTTACCACAGTACAGTTTGTTCTATAAAAGAGAAAGAGAGAGCAAAAGAGAGTGTGAAAGAATGAGATAGAGATAAAGAGAGAGAGAAAAAGAGAAAGAGTGCCACGTTTTCACAGCTACTGTTAGGTGAACCTATTGGTTGTTTGACCCCTGTGGGGAATATCAAATGAGAGATGTCTTGTTTTCATGAGATGCTATAGAGAGATGCTATAAAATATTCTAAGATGTTCTGAGTACTTCCAGAGCGCAGAGACCTTGGAGGGCAGGTCAAAGGTCAGATCAGCGTGCATGCGTGCTGCAGACATTCAGACGTGTTCGGCCATCAAAAGAAACGGCCGGCCCTCCGACGTTTTCCCCTTCCGTGTTTAGGCATCATTTTTGGTGCTTTCCCTTTTTATTTATAAAAAAATACAAAACATAACAGCGAAAAGAACTCTGTTGGTCGCCCCATTTTTCTTTTTGTTTTTCTTCCCACACTGTTTCTTCTTTAGTTGTTCTCTTCAACGCAACGTGTTTATTTATTTCTTTTTTCTTTCTCCGTCTCCAGTCTTACATATTGACAAAGTATACAATATCTTACAACTGAACAAGACTGAAAGATAACATTTGATTTGTCCAATCAGATACAAGGTCTGGCTCCTATATCCAATTAGAGAAGTCAACTGGAAGCTAGCCAGTATAAAGCAACACAACAAGCCTATGGTGTGAGGGGAGCCATCCAGAAACAGCTCTGCATTAACACGAACAGCCGCCCTCTGGGACGGTGGGCTCTGCTGGTTTGTCCAGCTTGATGTCAATCACTGGGAAGGTTCAGTTAAGAAAAACACATTGGTACTTCTAACATCAGTGTCAGAGCTATAATTCTTAGTGCATGTTCTTGTACAATAGAATGAAATGGTGAATGAACATAAATTGAACAGAGCTTCTATTTTAAACTCTATTTCGTCAATTAATTGACATTATTCTACAAGGGGCTCCTCCTCTCCTGCTGTCACTTTTCTGAAAGCCACTATGTGGTGCCAAAGCCCTGCATCAAAAACCTCTTCCTGGCTCTGTGCAATCCTTGCCACTTAGGCATAAATCGTTTAATGGCGGATGCTTCTGTACAGGCAGAAGGCTTGTCTGACTGATTGTGTTTTTGCCAGCAGCCACTAAAAGATTAAAAATAAGCTTGCCAGCTTCTCAGACACTTGGCTCTCAAAACGGCGGATCAGAAGAGCTGTAAAAGATACTGCCTTCGGGGTTTGCGTCGTCCAGATTTTCCATCCCAGGTAGGGCGGCTGCGACCCGACGAAACAGCTGGAAAGAGAAATAAAAATGTGAAAAAAAACATAAAAAATTATATATATATATATATATATATATATATATATATATATATATATATATATATATATATATATATATATATATGAACAAATACAAACACAACTAAAACAAATGTTGACTAGTCATTGTTGTTACAAAGGTAGATAGATTTTTATTGTCTGATATATCTTGTCCCTTATTTCGTTTTGACATAGATTTGTACGTACATCTTAATAGATTTTGAGAGATAAGATATTACTATTTACCATCAACTACAACTACATAAATATAATTGTCTTTGCCTGTGAATTTTCTTTAAAGTTAAACTTTAAATGCAGTAAGATATGGTGAAACTGCAAGGATCACCTGTTTGACATTGGAGCCTGTCTTGGCACTGGTCTCGATGAACATGACGTTCAACTCCTTGGCTCTCTGCTCTCCTTCCTCGATCGTGATTTGCCTGCGGGAAAATCCAGCCAGACTCGACATCTGAGGCTGATTCATTCAGTTCTGACGCGTTGCTTTCAACAGCCTTTTTTTTAAGCGGCAATTAAATGTTGGAGTTGATTACAAAACAGAGTGTTTACCTCTTCTCCTCCAGATCTGTCTTGTTGCCCACGAGCATGATGATTACATCGCTTCCTCTCTCCGTCCTGACGTCATCGATCCATTTGCAGGTCTGCTGGAACGAATTTACATCTGTGGAGATTAAAGCGTCAATTTAGGGATAGTGTCTTGCTGTGACGTTAAATACCAGCGTGCAAAACACTTAGTTATTTAAAAAAGGGATCAACGTGGGCTCACTTGTTATGTCATAGACAACCACTGCCACTGTAGAGTCCCGAATATAGCTGGGAATGAGGCTCCTGAAACGCTCCTGTCCAGCTGTGTCCCACAGCTGCAGCCTTACCTGAAAGTGAATACACACATACAAACTCACACACACTCTCAGCAGCTGTCTGTACATAAACTGTTAAATTTCACACAAGCTAAACACAAGTAAAGGCTTTTTTTCTGGGGGATAAGCCCATATCAGCTCGTGCAGGCTGGCAGGGGAGAATATCCCGCGACAGAAATAGCATTTGCACAAGTTAAAGAAGATGATCCATGACTATAGCTCATTGCAAGGGGGAAAAAATTGCTCCAAAGCTCTTAGTAGGAGAAATAACCTTCTGATAATCATGTTAGAGCATAAAGAGAGCAGCGATTAAGCAAATCAAATCAAAGATTAGTCAAAACACAGCGGAAGCTAGGACATTCAATGACATTGGCATATTAAAACCCTCAAAGTTTAATATTTCTACATGCAAGTTCCAACATAAATATCAGAATTTCCTACTGTCCGGTCTTC